TTATGGTTGGGGGTCACCACAACATGAGGAACTGTATTAAAGGGTCGCGGCATTAGGAAGGTTGAGAACCACTGCTCTAGGTGGACGGCAATGGAGCTTTGGAGATGTGGGCATGAACACTTTTCTCCGAAGTGAGGCAGATACTGCACATCAGTACCTGTCGTTCTATGCAAATTATCCTCCAATTTTAAAAAGGGTAACGGAGGTCAAAGAGCAGCTATTAAGTTCCTCTGAAGTTATGAGAGGTGGGCGGCCAGTAATCTCGGGCAATTCTTTGCTTCTAAACACTTTCTGTTCCAACAGGGCCCACTGGTTCTCCTGGGGGGCTGGCAGCACACCCCCAGTCCCACAACAATTCGCAGTGAGTGCCGAGCACCTCCGTGAAGGGAAGGGAACGGCCGGGTGTCCCAGACGGAGCATTGTCTATACCCCGTCTACCTGACAAGACTCCACCGCTCGGACGCGTCTGACCGATTCCCTTGACCCCACAACAAAGACCCTCTTTGTTCCCTGCTTAATAGCCTTAGCAGGTCTGTCTAGACGCGCTGTGGCAGTCATTGTCCTGTGATGTCACCGGGACTGTGACCCGGCTCCTCCTTGCTGCTCAGGCAGGGAGGGCTCCAGACGGCCCCAAGCCAGGGGTCCCGGCCCTTGACACCTACACCTGCCTGGGCCTCCGAGGAAGAGACATGCAGCTGGTGCCCTGGCCGCCGGGGAGAGACGGGGCGCATGAAAATCCACCTCCCCTGCAAGAGGTGCTGAGGAGCCCCATCCTGGGGGAAGACCAAAGTGTGGGGTCACCCCTCAGTCCCCAGAACTCCCACCTCCTGCTGTGGGTGGTGAGGTTCACCTAAGGCTGAAGAAGGAAGGTCACATGAAAGAAGGGGAGCAAAAGACAGAGGAAAATGGGGTAGGAAAGGAAGAGAGACAGAGACTTGCAGGGAGGCCAAGAGAAATAGAAAAACAAAGAGAAGCAGAGATGGAGAGAGATGTAAAGAGAGGGGGAGAGACAGAAAGACAGGCCCACAGAGAGGCCAAGAGAAACTGCAAGAGGCAGAGGGCGGGGAGAGAGGTACAGGTATAAAGAAAGAAAGATGAAGAGAGAAGAGGAGAGACAGGCAGGGAGAGAAGTCAGCTGGTCCCGAGAGGGAAGGGGGTGCCTTCTCCAGATGGCAACTTGGGCTTCTGAAAAATCAGTTGGGACAGAAAGTGTCGCCGCCCACTCTGTAGCCAAGCCCCCATCTTCAGCCTCAGGTGACAGACAACTAACTGTTCCTGCAACCCGAGTCTGGACCACCCCAAGGCCCATTTCCTCGAGGTACTGACTGGAACTATCCAACAGCTGCACTCTTCCCACGGGCACCTCTTTTCTCCAGGGCAACTACGAGTACCCACGCGAGCGCCAAGCAACCCCTAGGTGGATCGTGCAGACAAGTGGGGACAAGCACAGCAAGCGGCGTTCTAGCCCAGGCAAGACGCACGTGGTGGCAATAAAGGCAGCAGAGAGGTTTGCATCTTGGGGAGGCGGGTAGCTGAGAGGGGCAGACGGGGCTGGAACGGTCTAAACCTTGATCCAGACGCAGGTGACGTACAGGTGCACGTGCTAATATTCCATGGAGTTATACGAGTGTGGG